TATTAAAATTATCCACTCAGACGTCTGAAATTATCCGCCATGATCCGATTTTTTAAAAGGGAAAATACGCCAATTTTAAAAATAAGTAAAAACATACAAAGATACAAATCTTTTTATTATGCTTTTAAAGCATACATAAATAAATAATAAACAAACATAATTTATACGAGTATTAAAAAAATAACAACAATAAACTCTTAAAAAAACATGAATTCTTGCTTGCACATAATATTACAAAGTGCCATATTAAAAAATAACATAATTTATATTAAAAAAATGTTTTTAATTCGCTTTAACTTCTTGGATCTTGGTGTTGTAATAGCTATTTTCGCGGAGCTAATCCCGAACTAATTCACATTCTAGGCATGCGCTTTTTAAAATTTGGCGTTCAAAATATAAAGTGCGCATGACAAATATTAAAATGCGCATGCATGTCCGAACTAGTTCGGGATTAGCAACGCGAAAACACCTCATAATCTTCATAATAATTATTATGAAGATGATGTATTAATACTATCCTAAAACCATTGAGTAATGCTAAAACAGTGAATTTTAAAATGGGTTAAACTTCTATTCTTTATTTAGAGTTTTTAACTTTTTACAAATTAGAGTGTTGCCCCATTTTTTTCCGTTAACTTCAGAAATATAAATACCATGGTTTTTTGAAGTAGTAGATATTAAAATATGTTATTATGTGCCAATATCCTAAATTATCCAAAATTATCCGATTTATAATAGGGTTAGAAAGAGATCCGCAACCCCGCAAAATTATCCGCAAATCGGAGAATTATCCACCAATCGGAAACACTGCGTTCTGATATCCTCGTGTCAAGCACGCTGCGAGGTGCGCGATGGGTATGCGTTGTCGTAGCCTGCCGGCTGGCCAATCAAATTCTATTTGGCGTTCTATCCTTGTTCTTTTCACGCGGGTATTGAACAGCCGTCCTTTCCAGTGCTGTCGGACTTGATATTGCAAGCACTATATAAGATATCTTATTATTCGCCAAATTACTATAAAAATTCCTTTATTCAATTTAAAATTTAAAGTTTTTGGACATCCCTTATTGCAAAAAATGTGAACGTTGAAATTGGCTGAACTGAAATGGGTAACTACGCTAAAAAAGCATCGCTAGTAGCGCCACCACTTGGCCGTTATCATCTTAACAAATCTAAAAGTTTTAATAATCATCTTTCAAACGCGTATGTGTTTTTGAGAATAAAGCCGGAAAATGTTAAAAATTATCGAAAAAAAACCGTAGCACGATTTGTTGTGTTCTTGGGTGTTTTTCGAGAGGAAATCCTAGGTTGAGTTTTTTTACCAGTTTCCCAATAAACAGTGTTAATCCAAATGAAAAAATATATACAGTCCCTGTAAATATAAATTGTACCCCTATTAGATACAATAAATAACATTTTAGTAATAACTAGCGTGAAAAGTGTAAACATTTTTAATCAGGAAAAATGGAATTATATATAATATTATGTTACTACGAAGGCGTAGAAGGGACAATTACACTAAATTCATTTTTATTATTTAATTCTGCGTTAGCTAACACAGAATTAAATCCGCCATATTTAATTCTGCGTTAGCTAACACAGAATTAAATCCGCCATATTTAATTCTGCGTTAACTAACACAGAATTAAATTCAATTAATTCCGTGTTAGCTAACCCAGAATTAAATATGGGGGATTTAATTCTGTGTTAGCTAACGCAAAATTAAATATGGCGGATTTAATTCTGTGTTAGCTAACGCAGAATTAAATATGGCGGATTTAATTCTGTGTTAGCTAACGCAGAATTAAATAATAAAAATGAATTTAGTGTAATTGTCCCTTCTACGCCTTCGTATGTTACCATAAGTTCGTATGTATATTTTGTTGTTTAAAATGCAGTTTTTTTGAGTAGTCAAATATAAAATTGTTCGATTTTAAGGTTATGTTTGTACAACAATTATTTTTTACTAATTTCTTAAAAATGTCCAAACTTAAATATAAATTATATTAGGTAATTCTGCACCAACAAATATACCTACCGAATTGGATTCTTTGGCAAAACATGAAAATTCAACGATTTACTTCTTGAATTTTATTTACAATTAAATACAATAATTCATCATAATCACTTAGATAAAATACACACACTAACGTAAATATATAAGCATATTAGCGTTGAGTTTCTTAATCAATGATATAAGGAATATTTAATAGAAATCGAGAACTAAACCAAAGTTTTGGAGTTTTTACGTGCAACGCAAAACACAAATAATGTGCGCGATTTAGCTGTGCAATTGAACAAAATTTATCGAATAAGACTTCTGCCTTCCTCTCTTTCGTGTAAAAACTACTTATTTATTTAAATTAATGTGCAGTTTGTATGCTTTTAATGTATTGTTGACAATTCTTAACGTCACACAATGCTATCGAACTCCGCCAGATGGCGCGCGCGTTGCGAAAACCCGAAGCATCGGCTTTTCGCAACGTATAGTTTAAAAAATGATAAGATACGATTTAAATGTTTGGGTGGTTTTTCTGGCTCCTGATTGTAAATGTAAATAAAAATTCATAAAATCATATCAGATCGGGGGTCCCGATTTGGGACCACTGTGAGGCGTCAGGACAGTACCATTCTAATTTCACCAAAATATGTGTCGCCCAATACATCCAAATTTTACTAGTTCAAAATTCACCGAGAGCCTCTAATTACTGTAAATACTTTCAGATCCATGGTGTAAAGATTTTTGTGGAGAAAAATACATACATTGTAGGTTAGATTACATTACTAACGTAATATATGTACATAATATAAAATATTGAAAAAAACTGAATTTTTCCACTTTTTTAGTTAATATTAAGTCTGACTTAATAGGCAATCTGTCAAATACGTGTGTCAAATGTCAAATACGGATACAGCACGTCAAAAAACTTGGTCTGGTTTCTGTTTTTGTAGACATATCGTCGGTCTCCTTACGTAGTGGCGTAACTAGCTTTTCACAAATTTTCCAATAGACGCAAAAAACGAAAATGGAGCATAATTATATCGGTGCCCAATTTTTACTACTGAAGGTGGCCCAAATTGTTTTTTTTATCAAATTGTTCAACTAGTCCGGCCTCTTTTAAGCATAACATTTTTATTATTATCTGATCAGCTTGCAAGTATAAAACATGTTTATACAGATACGTCAATTTGTAAAAATATATTTTTTTATGTTTACACTTACGCCTATAAGATCGTGTAGGGAAAAAGTGATACAGATTCATAATATTATACTTTTAAACCAGTTTATTGTGATAAATAATGAAATTAGCAAAAATGTTTTACAACGCCTAATAAAAAAAGGATAAAAAATTATTCAATCTTTAAAAAAATGCAAATTTTTTAAAACTGATTTTTTTTTTGAACAAAAAAAACAGCACTATTCTTTTTCGTCTTCTTCGTGCGGCAAAGAGTAAAAGAAGTTTTGAAGTTCGGGTGTGCGTATTACCGTTTTGTTTTTGCCAGATGGTTTACAAAGAGCAGTTAAATCTTCATATTTTTTTCTGGATATTTTAATTTGTTCTTTATTCAAATTATCAATAATTAGATGGCCACGTTGTTTAAGCACAATTTTATCATAACTTTCTTCAGCGTGGCTATATTTAAAGAAAATGCTCATCGGTTCTTCTTTATTGACACTAATGTCCATAATCTCGGTCCATTTTAATGATCTGTTTTTCTCGCTGTGTCTTACAGATAATAGTTTTAGATTTTTAGAAAATGTTTTGAAATCAAGAAAATCTCCAAAACTCATTGGAATAACAGTGTACGGCTTAAGTTGTGTTCTTGCACCTCGAATGACTGGGTGTAGTTGTGATAGTACAAAGAGGTCACCAGAATGTGCAAGCGCGTAACCAATAGCACTGTGGGTGCTATCACCTTCGTTTTGTCCGTGATTGGTTTTTTAAACGAATATCTTTAATTGTGTTGTATTTTTCCAACGAATACAGCAACATGGATGCTACAACCAAATTTTTGTTCTGGCCGTAACACCCATCACAGAAGAGTTCTATGGTATGTACTCCTTTTTCGACGTATTGGCCAATTGCTTTGAATAAACAAGTTGCAATTTCAGTCGAGCCACGTTTCCCGTTTGTTTCGTCCCAGACAAAGCAGTAACATTCTTTGGTGGCAACATTGTAAAAAGTGAAATTAAAAAATGACATCCTTGACATGAGCTCTGGTCACAACGGAATAACAAAGAATAATAATATTATTTGAGGTTATGAAATTCTCAAGGTTAATTTGATGTTCCCTCCAGATCGCGTGCGCACATTGGTTTCAGTTAAAATGGACCAAAAAAATGACACGACGTAAAGGCGTAAATTAATTTACGCCAATACGTGAGAAACACTTTTAAGGATTATACACTTACGCCATATTTTAGTAATGGCATTGCAAGCAAACTATTAGAAATACAGTTACACCACTTGGTGAGGTTAAAAAGCACCCCAAAATAATACTTAAGGCGGCGTATCTCAAAATCTCAATTTTTGTCAGTTACGCCACAACGTAAGGAGACCGACGATATGTATCTAATTGTTATTGTGCAAATCTTTCTTTGAAAGAAATTGACAAATATAAACGAGTGTTTTATTTCACCTAAAATTCTCAAATGTTTTTTATTTCGTCATTTGCCAAAATGTTTCTTTAGGAACACCTTCAGTTTTCTACTTTTGGGACTAAAAACAGTACCTGCTGAAAAACCTTTTAAGTAAAGATGAATCATGTATGTGACCTCAATAAATAGTTTAATCAAAGATAACCATGCAAAACCTACAGCCAATGAAATTCATAGGCCAAAAACTCACGAATAGTACCTACCTATGCATGGTAGTTATATTATATATATATATATATATTATATATATATAGTAGGTACTTATAGAACAGTCAACCCATGTTGTTAGATATTTGTATGCGAAAATTGTTGCACAGTTTTAAATTAATAAGTAGGTACTTACTATTGTAAGATCCAAATCAGGATGCGGTTCCAAAAGATTTGAGCAAACGTACCCAATATTCAGGCACAATAAAAAAGTTAAATTAAATTTCATATTCCTAAAAATATTTAATAGATCTTGGCGGTGTTAAACTTAAAAAACAACTAAGACCCCATTACCCATATTATTCTAGCAACATAATTAAAATGGAATTGCAAGGTTTATAATATAATTAAATTGGTACATAAACATTAGGTACTTATACATTTTTGTTCTATCGTTAATTGCGACATTACCTATATTTATATTATGTTGTCATTGTCACAATTTATTTTAGGTTTTATTTATTTTGAGTACCTAGTAAGAAGTACAAATTAAGCCAAATTTAGCATAAACATTAGGGTGGTTCTTATTTGGCCGATGACGAAATTTTAATCGTGCCGCCCCCTCATTTGTTTAAAAAAAAAGCTTGTGTCAGAGTTTCGAAAAGCATTTCCCGACGCAAAAAAAGACAATTTTTAAAATGCCAAAAACCTAATTATCTGGTTTTTATTTTGTTTATTTTTTTGCCATTTTAACTATGTTACTTTTTTTAAAAATAAATTGTTCGAAAACAATCTAAAAATCAATTTTATTTTTTACATAATTGTAATTTTGTACTTTTCTAATGTTGGTGCTCCCTAAATATCTTTTAAGTAATCTTAAATTATTTGTTTTATATAAAACAAATAATTTAAGATTGTCTAGAAGATATTTAGGTAGCACCAACATTAGAAAAGTATAAAATTACGTTTGAAAGCACACTATAAACTATATATTTTGTTTGTATATGCCATTTTCAATAAAATAACAATAATAGTAATAATTGAGCGAAGTAAAAAAGACCTTACGATGGACATACATGAATTCTTTTTTTTGTTTAAAAGCACCATATTTTCCCTTCATTTCCTCAAAAAATAAGAATTGTTCATTAATTATTAATGATTTTATAAAATTATTGCGTTTTAAAGCAAAAATCCCCTATATGAAAAACTGTAAGTAATAATCGAGCGAAGTAAAAAAGACCTTAAGATAAAATTACATGATTTCTTTTTTTTTGTTTAAAAGTAACTTAACATTTTCTTAAAAAATTATACTTTTTCATAGATTAATAGTAATTTTAAAAAATTAATTCATTAAAGGCAAAAATCAACTATCTGGAAAACTTCTCGTTGTTACAGGCAATAGAAGAAAATAAGTTAAAATAGTGAATGTAAATTTGGCATACATTTTTTTAAACATTTTTTAAAAACAAATGAGGGGGCGGCACGATTAAAATTTCGACATCGGTCATATAAGAACCACCTTAATAAACATAGAAGGACATGCAAGTAGCCCTATCCATCATTAAAAAGTGCTAAACTAATTAAAACATCGTTAAAACATCATACAACCTATTTTGTGAATAAATTCATTATAATAAAATTAATCATGAGTTAATGACATTAGGTAATTCTAAACAAATGTAAATATATTGTACCTACCTATTTTCTGGAAAAATTAATTACAATAAAATTAGTCATGAGTTAATGGCATCGGTAATTCTTAACAAATGTAAATACATTGTTTAATTTTTCATCATTTTTTTGCGCCAAAAATGGCGCACCAAAAACTTATGAATAAGGAAATGCAGTAACTTACCAGAAAAAATAAGGGAACATAAAACAAAGTTTAAAAAAAGGATACGACTATAATTCTTCTGTACGTGTGCACGTCACTGAACTCCTCTAAAACAAGAAAAAAATATTTATTAAAAAAAAAATAATAATAATAAAGTTAACATAAATTGAATATTTATAAAGAGAAATGTAACAAAAAATAATAAAATTGTAAAAAATACAAAAAAAAATGAATAATATACATACAAGTTTTGTACACAGTTGAATATTCTGTACTTTACCAATCCACACAGCAAAAAGCAAGAATAAAAATCTGTTTATTGTATCATGAAAATCTGCGATAACTACGGTCGTAGTACGACCATGACACAACATCATATAGTACGACCAGTGGCGTAGCTAGCCTCGAGGGGGCCCCGTATCAAAAATCTGGTTGGGCCCCTTATACAGGAAAAGTTGCTGGAAAAAAAATTTCTGGGTGTCACGCTCAGTCTATTTTGGGCAAGAAAAAAATATTTTTTTAGGGTTTCATTTTTTTGCATTTACCAATTTTATATAATTTAATAAATAATATATGTAGCTAATATACATAGCTAATATACCTTCATGGCTTTTTATGTACAGGCAAATTTTAAAATTTGGTCTGGTTTTAGACATTTACCGTTCTTCAACATATTTTAAAAGATTTCTATTTTAAAATAAAGGCAAGTCATTTAAAATAATTGTAACGCTAATAACACTACAAAATCAACAAAAAATTCTGCCTATCATATCATTATTATAATTTTCCCACTAAACACGAAAATCACACTAAATTTTTTTTGTATGGAAGCGTTTTTAAAATATGAATTTTCAATTGTTTTTTTTTCAATTTTCGGACGTGTTTTGACGTTTTTGAGTATAGCTTAAAATCTTTTAATAACTTAAAAAATAGTTTTATGGCAAAGGTCAAAAATTTACATAACTCTATTTTGATTTTTTTCCACAAGCTGTCATTTTTACAAAAAAAAAACAATCTAATATTAATAAAAATACATAGAAAAATGTCGAATTTGAATTTTTTAGTGGAAGACCAAAATTCATCTTTATCATTTTGTAATATGTTTATTCTTTAACGAAAAGCTAAGTAAAGTGCATAATTGGAATTTTTTGAGTTTTAACGTACTTTTTTCACATAAAACATTATTCAAAATTTAAATCTGACTTGACTCCGCAAACGTGAATTCTTTTGTTTCTGTTGTGTTGGCATAGTTATTTTTACTGCTATTTTTTGATATTTTAACAAGGTATTTTTTATCATGGTTTTATTTAGTTAATAAAAAGTGTAAAATAAGTAGAGGATTCGAGTGCGTAAATAACCCGCACAATCTGGGCGACGTAAGTGATGAGCACGGAGAACGTTTTCACCAGCAAATGAAGGCTATGGAACAGCGGTATCACGGCTTCTGGGATGCAGTCATGATGGGTGATTACATTTGGTCCCTCATACGAGAAACGGAACACAAAAGCAACCAAAAAACAAATGCTTATTACAACAAAATAAAACTTTTAATATCTTCAATGTTCAATATTTATTGTTCTATATTCAATATATAATTTAATTTCAATATTCATGTTTAAAATAAATGTTCAATATTAAATTTTATATAATTCAATAAAATGAAGAAAAAACGAAAAAATTCTCGAAAAACTGAATTTTGGTCTTTCACTGAAAAATTCATAACTTCGTCATTTATCCATTAATTTTCATCAACAGCAGCTTATTTTTTTCCTTTAAGTATAATCTATACGTAAAATAAATCAAACTGGACTTATCTTTTCGATTTCTATCTTTCCCAGAAAGATATGTAAATTTTTGACCTCGATTTTTGTAAAACAAAAGGACTTTTCAACTTCATAAAATCGACAGTATCGAACTACTGAGCCGATACCAAAACTATAATAGAGAAAGTTGTAGAGGGCTCAATTACCTTTGATTTAAGTGTTTGGTCAAATCTATTAATTAGAGTATACTCTAAAACGTCAAAACACCTAAAAAAAAACAATTGAAAATTGCGCTTCAAACTGTCTCTTTGCAAACATAAGATTTCGAATTTGAGAGTTTGAATCTTGATTTTATTATACAAAATTGTATATGTGAAATCGAAAATTTTTATTTTTATTTTTTCATCTCTGAATTTTTGACTAAGAATGTATATTTCCTATTCAAAATTTCAGACTTTCGGTGTGAAGTATTCGATTTTGAGTTTATGATTCTAGATCTGTAATTTTAAATTAAAGTGAATAAGTTTGTATTTAAATCGTAAATTTATTAAAAATTTAAATTGTCTTGTTTATAATAATAAAACTGATCAAACAAATTATTTATGTTTTTTATGATAATATAACATTAATTATAATACATAACCATAAATATATTTTCGTATTTATAATAATATTATTTAATTCGGAATAAAAGCGACTCGAAAAACCATAGAACAATTTTTGATATATTTGGACGGCTCAATTTAATTTTTGCAGTACACGCCGCCATTTTGTGTCAGCCATTTTGAATTTTGAAAAAATATTGTCATTTTTGGAAAAAGTGACACAAAAAACCACAGTACACATAGTTTCAGAATTTTGGCCAGTTTTTTAGGGAAATTGGTCACTGTGCGCTGGAAGTAAAGAACTCAAATTTTGACAGTGTATTCCTAAAGGAATTTTATATAGTAACATGGGACACACCAAATTCAGTTATACCTAATTTAACCCGGCGCATTCGCCTAAAATTTAAACTTTTTTAATGTTTGTACCATATTACTGGTATACTGGTTGACATAATATGCTGTAACTTTAACTTCTACAGCTTGTAATATAATATATTTTATGTTATATATTAATCATATTGCAATGTTTAATTGTAACAAAGTTATTTTTCCCCAAACTCATTTGAGATTGATGTCTATAATGTCCTATAATAGGCACTCTCTAAAAAAATTAACAAAGTAAGCTATTGTTACACTAGTTAAACAATGAAATAATGAAAAATAAAAAGAAGACAAAAATTGTAAATAACTAATTACCTACAGCTATTTTTACATACTGCAGTAATAATAATAATAACAATAATGCGAGTTTAGAATCGACAACTCTTTACGAGTTGCACATATTATTTTGTCCCACAATCAAATAAACTTAAATTATTATACTTAATAACCATAAACAATAACAAAGAGCACAACAATTGCAAATGAGCTGAAAGTTTATTCCAAAATCATCATAGTCGCCTGTCGTATATTATAATATAGTGGGGAATACCCAACATCTGTCAAAAGTAATTAACATCACTTTTTCCCGATCATTTCTTTTTTTGTTTCTTTCAATAAAAATTGTGTTATAGGAGTAAAGTTTCGTTACAAATAAATTAACAATGTTTAGAATAATATTTATGTAAGTATGTATCTTCATGAAGGATGGATCACTAACTACCTACCTGTAGAGCTGGCCTTGATGAGACAAGGTTTCCTTTTACTC